AAGGAACCTTGGTGTTATCTTTGACCAGGACATGTCATTCAAATCCCAGGTTAAACAGGTTTGTAGGATTTCCTTTTTCCACCTTCGGAATATTGCTAAGATTAGAAGCATCCTTTCCAGGAGTGATGCTGAAAAACTAGTTCATGCATTTATTACATCAAGACTGGATTACTGTAATCCATTACTCTCAGAAAGTCCACAGAATGTAGTTAAAAGTCTTCAGCTTGTCCAAAATGCTGCAGCTAGAGTTCTGATGAGAATTAAAAAGAGAGATCCTATCTCTCCTGTCTTAGCTTCCCTACATTGGCTACCTGTTAAATTCAGAATAGATTTTAAGATCCTTCTTCTCACATATAAAGCTCTTAATAATCAAGCTCCATCATACATCAGTGATCTGATTGTTCCATACGTTCCTAACCGAGCACTTCGCTCTCAGACTGCAGGTCTACTGGTGGTTCCCAGAATATCTAAAATTAGGATGGGAGGCAGATCTTTTAGTTATCAGGCTCCTCTCCTGGGAACCAGCTCCCAGCTTTAGTCCGTGAGGCAGACACTTTGTCTACTTTTAAGAATAGGCTTAAAACATTTTTATTTGATAGGGCCTATGGTTAAAATCTGATGTTAGCCTAAATCTGGACAAGTGGGGGAGTAGAGGGAGGTGGAGTGTACAGTCGGTAAAGACGGCTCTCCCTTGCCCTGCCTCCAACATGCCTCCATCTAAATAGGATAGATTATCCAGAGTTATCTCTGTAGTTATGCTGCTATAGGCTTAGACTGCTGGAGGACACACTGACCACTTCTCACACTCTACTGCTTTCTTCTACAGTCTGCTCTTTAACTGTATTATTTCCTGCTATTTCAGCTGTTAACTTTATTTTCTCTCTAAGTGTTTTTCTCCCCAGAAGAAGCTACAACGATGTTCTGCTGAGCTGTGGTGGCCTCATGGAGGGGGCCATCGACTAGCACACTGCTGCTAACCACTTAAACATTCTCCCTCTCCTGATAATAACTTTTTGCTCTCTTTGACGTTGGATGTGCTACTACTAGTTTATCCGTTTAATTATAGATCCACTAGGATAAATACAATAAAGTTTATCTCTCACCAAATAGAATATTTACTAAGACATCACAATATAACTGTAGACACATTACTTGTCTCTGTGTGTGTGTGTGTGTGTGTGTGTGTGTGTGTGTGTGTGTGTGTGTGTGTGTGCTCTGTCTTCTCCATCCCCAGTGAGTCGTGGAGGATGGCTGCTTATACTGAGCCAGGAATCTCTGGAGGTTTCTTCCTGTTAAAAGGGAGTTTTCCTCTCCACTGTCGCTGCATGCTTGCTTAGTATGAGGGTTGCTGTAAAGACTCTGACACTAGTCAGTGACTCGATGCAACCTGCTGGGTTATTGGCTCAATGACCTGACCTGTATTAGAATGTTTACTGTGTGAAGGTCCTTGAGACGACTCTGGTCCTGACTTGGCGCTTTATAAATAAACTTGAATTGAAGGTGATGGGTCTTTAATGTGTCAGATCTTTGAGTTCAGCTCATGAAAAAACAAAAACATGCATACTTTGTTCAGTGCCGGTAGGGAGGTAGGTAGACAGAAGAGCAACAGAAAATGGGTAAAGATGACAGAATAAAGAGAAGCATGTCAAGCAGCAGGAATAGACCTACGGGGGGTTAGACGGCTGTTTCTGCAGCTCAGACTGAAGCCGAGTGGCACCAAGGTAGTCTGATTACATTTCTGATGTTGTTAATGTGCTGATGAATCGTGTCTAAGGGCAGCTTGACACGTTTCTGTTGGCTGTTGTGCAGTAAGGATCATTTTCCTCTTCAGGTCATTCACAAGGATATTGCTCTTCAGGCCAAAACATTTCTGTTGTTTCTCCACTCCGTCTTCCTTCAAACCTCGTGAGAATATTCCTGAAGCTGTGCTCTGTCGGGCTGAGGTTCTCTACATTGTTTAGGCTACACCCTCTCCATGTCTGCATTCATACATCATGTGATGCTGCTGCAGGTCTTCAGACAGTCCTGCTGGACTAATGTCAGAACCTTCTGCCATTCGTCTTCGGCTCTTCTACAAAACATACCTGACTGAAGTGTTTATGCTGTATTAAAACAATTAGCTCGAGCGCTGCCCACTGTGGGACCAGCTTGGATCCAGGTGTGGTCCTCTGGTCGGTGTTTATGCTGCTCAGGGTGATGCTTGATGCCAGACATCAACACCACATCCAAACAACGAGCCCGCCTCTCCACAGCAGGTTAATCATGAGCTGGGGCGTGTCACCGACAGCTCTCCGGCCTCAGTCTGAACTCCTCTCGCTGGGCACTTTGTTGTTTCTGCTTCACGCTCTGGTCTCCATACTCTGATGTGTGGCTCTCAGCAGAGTGGTCTGGATTATGCTTCATGTAGACGGGACAAAAGCTAGACAAGCTGATGATGTAACAGTCATAAGTCCCAGCAGCCTTTAGCATCAGTAAGAGGACACGAAGCAAAGATGAGTACAGCCACGATGGAATCGGCTCTCTGGGATTTTATTCAAGATGAATTAAAAGCCTTTGGAGACCTAAAACATCCAGAAGGTGGACAACTAAATAAATGTTCTAATACTGGAAGCACGACTCTGGCAGCATGCTAGGTATGTACGCTGTGGCTAAACATCCTCCTCTCATCAGAAGAGCTCGCCAGGCCAGCAGACGAGCTCAGCATCTCCCACTTATCCAGAAGGCCGTGCTTGTTTCACACGGCATTCCCACCCGAGTGCCTTTCTGGGCTAGGGTTCTGGAGAGCTGCCAGCGTACCGGGCTCCAGAACCTCTGATGCAGACTCCAGCCGTGTTGGTCGTGTCCAGCTTTGTGTGGTCTTCTCAGCATCAAAGACACGTTTCTAGTATTTCATCTCTGTTCCCTGAGAAGATCATGTCTGCAGTGATAAAAGCTAAAGGGACATTCTGCACATAACTAGTCAGTGTAGCGTAATGGTTGTTGGCTCTTTTATGAAAGAGGAACCATTCTACATAATAATCTGGAATATTAATTTTTAACAAATCAATAACCAAATTTTATAGAGATAAGAAGACTCAAAGGTTGTTTTCATCGATAAACTGACGATCATATCCGTGTGTGTTTCAGTTCAATGAAGAGACAAGTTTGAAATTTAAGAGATTTAATTCTTCAATTTAAACTAACGATTTGAAATGACAATCATAGGAAAAACAATCAACATTGGCAACCTTGTTGGACAATCTTTAACAGTTGATATTCTAAGCTTGCACAAATAGACCTTGTGTTGGATGTGCTAAGATTGAGAATGATGGAATTATGAATGCGTGCATGCAGGTGTCTGAGGTTGCTTCAGGGAGAGAGAAGGTGATCTGAGTGAAAAATGATGTTTTGTAATTAAACTTTAGTTCCTATTAGAAAACAGCATCAGAACGCTATCTAGTCATGTTCTGCCTCACCGCACTTGGGACCCTCTTTAGATCCGGACCTCAGGAGGATGTTTCTCCAGATGACACCTTGGCTGGCAGAGAAGACGAAGGTGTGCTGACGGTCCAGTCCAGAGTTGACCTCGGTACACGTTGATGAAGCGTTCGGCAGATGCGCTTTCTCAAGTTTAAATTAACTCAGAAACCAAAAGACTCGGACGAGTCTGCGTTAGCTGGTTGCATTTCAGCTATTCTGTCTGGCTTGACAGAAATAGCGTGGGGGGAGAACGAGAGCCGGCAGGGCTCCTTTCCCCGTGGCGTTCGTTCCGCACGTCCGCTCTCTTTCGTTCCCACTCTCGTTCTGACTCTTAACAAAACCACTTCTCTTCCCAAGCAAACTTGTTGTGCGTCAGAGCAAATGTGTTATGAGTTACTGTGGACACGGACCTTTGTGAGCAGGTGTGAAAGTCATCGCTAAACATCTTCAAAAACATTATTTAATTAAGTATACTGATTCATTATAGTTCATTATGATTACCCAAAGCATAATAATCATTCATTTGATTAAAATACATTTATAATGAGCAAAGTGATAAATTGATTATTTAACTTTAATAATGAAGAAAGTTTAAGACTTTGTTTTATTATTATGACTAGTCTGTGGAGAAGTCCTTCTTCTGAAGAGCAGGTGTTTAGATGTTGTGGAGTCCTTCAGACTTGCTGTCGGCTCGGGTCTTAATCTGTGGGTGAAGGTGCTGCGTGACCCAGCTCTGACCCAGCCGGGCAAATACGACCTTTGGCACAGAAAACCCATACTTCCTCACGTTACATCACCGTCTGCTGTAGGAAACGTGTTCAGGCTCCGTGAGCTCATGCTAGTCCTCACTAGAGATCGGCCCATGTTCTCCATGGCTGTTGCCTGCTTTCATGGCTGATCTGAGCATTTTCCACCTTATTTGATTGCAAAAATGTCTCTAATGACATCAGTGGATGCAAAACTTCTCTAGCTGAGTCAGTTTCTAACCCCGAATTTAACCGGCCGTTGAGTCTTAGAGAGGATCTACACAGTATTAAAATCATTCATTTAGCCATCGTTAATACAACTAATCAATCAGTGATTTTCAAGGATAAACAGCTGCAGAACTAAATGTTACACTTCCGTTTCATCCCGGGCCAGAGTCCAGCCGGGATTTCCCGACTCCTGCAGAAGTTGTGGGCTGTTTATGCGTGTGGTAAGGACACGAGAACCTGTCTGAGATATGTGTTGGTTTGCTGTTTGAAGACAGAATCAGTCAGCTGTGGTTCTGTTTGGACTTTATTCACGAGCTAAAAAGGTCTGGTCCAAATGGACTCATCTACACCGATCTGAGATTTTAGGACACATCTGGCTTTCTGCAGAGGGTACAACCCTGTTCATGTGAAGGCTTTGGAGGAAAACGAGCATCAAATGGCTGATAGTCATTTTCTGATCACTGTTGATTATTTCTGATGTCATTTATATGAACTGTGAAGCTTTAATGCCACGTGTGAGCACAGACGTGGTTTTCCTCTTGACTAACGTGTCTTCTTCCCCCACAGAGAGGATAATAGACAGCATTTTAACTGCCACCAAAAATTATGGACTTGGAGAGAGGTTGGACAGGTACTGGCAGCTCGGTTCGTCCTCGCCAACAGCCGGTTTTGTTGCTGCTGTCTAACGTCCCGCTGTCCTTCCTCCTAGACTCAGCTGTAAAAGATGCATCATAGTGGGCAACGGGGGAATCCTGTATAACAAGTCTCTGGGCACACGCATAGATGACTATGATGTTGTAGTACGGTAAGCCAAGACATTCTGTAATTCACCTGAAACGCTCACCTGGATCTCAGCGGTCCGCTACAGCTGGTTTTCCAGGAGCACTCTTAGTAGGCCGGACCGGTGCAGCTCGGCCCGGCCGCTGTTCCCGAGGGCACGGTTCCATACGTTCCCTCTACTTTCGCCCCTATTTTTAGTCCCTGCTCCGCTGAGGTACCTGGCAAGGCTGAGTCGGGCCGGCATCGTGACTCTGGCTGCTGATTGGCCAGGGGGCGGAGTCACTGGTTGCTTTCTGTTTTCTGCATATTTAATTTAGCAGATGTAAACATTTCATATCTTTGTAATTGTAGCCTCCGTCTCTTAAAGACACATCTGAAAACAACAACTCTACGCTATCACTGGTCTGGCGGTCAGCTGCAGAGCCACCCGTCAGAAGACTCGAGCTAAGTTTGACTTTTTAATCAGATAAATAATAAAAATATGACTCAAATTCGGTTTAAGTTCAGTTTGACATCAAACGCATCGTTTAGATGAATAATCTGCTTTTGTGGGTTGATTAGTGATGTCTGCTGTTGGACAGCTGGGATTTACCTCTAAGAATTCAATCAAACATTTACTTTATAAGTTAGTTTGGAAAAAACACATTTTGGGGTGAAGTAAAATGTCTTGATGATGTTGGTCATTACTGGAGCCAATCAGCACCTGTCACAGGTGAGTTCACCATGTTGAAGGTCCCAAAGGTGATGCAACACACTTCCAATCCTTCAAGTCACAGATGAGCCGGCTGCAGGGGATGCTGATGCGTCTCTACTGTGTTTTTTGTTGGCAGGCTGAATGAAGCCCCAGTAAAAGGTTACAGCAGAGATGTCGGGACCAAAACCACCCTGAGGATCACCTACCCAGAGGGAGCCATCCAGAATCCTGAAAACTATGAAAAAGACTCTCTCTTTGTCTTTTCTGGATTCAAACCGCTTGATTTCAAGTGGTTCAGACAGATCGTCTTTAAGGAAAACGTGGTAAGGACACTTTAAACTACTTCTGTTCATGTTTAGCAGCTTTCCAACAGGACAACTGCGGACTGATGTGATGAAGTCCGTCTGCACGTTACGACTAGAGGCAGACTGGTACTGGTTTCACTGCTGATCCCGATACGAGGCGGTCGGGGTCCGCCCATGGCCGACGTTTGGGACTGATATCTGGATGCTTGGCACCTCATCAGAATGCTTAATAATCACCAATCACTGTTGACTCTTAACTTAATCACTGCTCAGTGTTGAAGTCAAACATTATAACAAGACTAATAAAGTGACCAAGTGTGAAACATAGAAAACAGGAAGAAGAGAAGTATCAGCTGATGTTTCCGAGCATGTATGAAGCAGATGTGGCTCCTCGTCTGCAGCTACTGCTGCTTTCCTGAGGAAGAACAGGGTGAACCCAAGCATGTCTCCAGAGGCTTCTCAGACCTAGGTCTGTAGGCCTGTGATCAGTCTAGGGGTTAGCCTGGACACAGATTTGTCTCCAGTCTAACAGATAGACGCCACCGTGATGTCCTGTTTGGTTTTTCATCTATGAAGAACAAGGCCTCATCCTTCAACATTCATTCATCTGGAATCCGTTATTCACGCCTTGATTACGTCTAGGCTTCATTCTGCTAACTCTTCTGGTGGGTATGAACGAGGCTGTGACTGACCACCTTCAGAAGGTCCACAGCGCTGCTGCCAGGTTCCTCACTGGAGCAAAGAACTATTGTCACTTCACCCCGGTTCTAGCTGAGCTGCACTGGCTCCCAGTGACTTACAGAGTGAAGTTCAGAAATCTTCTTGTTACTTACCAAATCGTACAGAACACGGCTCCCGGTTAGGGTTAGGTTACCTAGCAGAACTCCTCCGTTCCTACATTCCCTCTAGCTCTCTGCGCTTGGTGGACAAACTCTTGCTGTGTTCCATAAATACGGTTCAAGACTCGTGGTGAACGTAGCTACGAAGCTTTGGGCTAGCCTGCCACTCTGGATTTGTTGGTCCCCATCTATTGATCTGTTTAAAGCTGGTCTTAAAGCCACTGCTTCACCATGGCGTTTGGTGCTTGGTCCTATGGACAGCACCGCAGCAGGCGTGATCATCTACACGTGTTACCGTTTAGCACTTTCTCTCTTAAATGGATGTTGTGTTTTTATGTTGGTTTCAGCACATCCTAGTTGATTTTACTAAAGCTTTTAATGCCCAAGTCCATCCTTGTCAGAGCACCTGTGTGTGTGTGTGTGTGTGTACACACAGGTGCAAAGTATAAAGTTTCTCTATGGTGTCCAGTAGTGAGTGGGAGGGGCCACAGACCTGCCCCAAAAGGCGTGTGGAAGATGGAGGGGTTCGAAGCCTCACAGATCCAGAGGTCTTCCTGAGTCATGGAGACCCCAGGGAGACCGCCGCCGGAGAAGCCCTAACCCCCTCAACAACAGCGGCAAGCCCCCAGGCCCGCCCCAGAGCAGGCTGGGCTCAGAACCCAAGGGTGCCCAACCCCGGTGAGGACCCGCCATAGCCCGAGGGTCAGTAACCCACGACCCAGCACCCAGGCTCCAGAAGAGGTTCTTCTTGAAGAATGGGAAAACATCGATGTTGCAACATGTCGCCATCTTGTTCATTCCATGCCTAGAAGACCCGGCGCTGTCCCTGGAAACCACGGTGGTCGTGCTAAACACCAGCTGTAGTCGTTTTAGTTGTGGGGTGGATTCCTCTGCTTCAAACCAGCCCGGTGAACGTTCTGGGAACTGGTCTTTTGTTCGTTGAGCTGCTGATTAAACTCCTACCTTTTAAAGGGGGTGTACTCGTTTATGCTGAGCGCTGCATGTTTCAGGCAACAATCTGTTTACTGGTGGATTTCCAACGTTGGCAGAGACCGGTGGCGCCGCTGTTCAAAGACTGGCTTCCTGTCTTCATCGTTTACGACTTAGACTCATCAAAGACCAGCGCAGTGGAAACAGAGGAGATGGTTGTCTGTCTGGATGTCCCTCCTGGGAGGTTCTCCACAAACAACAACTCATACCAACTGGATTTGTGCGTCTTCTTTGGCTGAATGTGAAACAGGAAGTGTTTAACCCGGCGTGGAGGAGCTTGTGATGCTGCCGCATTAGTGTCCCTTTAATAAAGTGTATTTACAAACATCCCATAGTAATTCACCTGACGGTGTGGGGTTAAGGAAACTAACAGGAAGTTCTATATTTATTGTTTCTGCTGAATTACTGGGACCATGAGGGGAAAGGTGTGTCGGCGCCAGCCAGCCTTTATCAGAACAGGTGTGTGTCGCCCTGAAACAAGAAGAAGAAAAGGAGACGACGCCAGACATCCGAGCGTGGAGGTGATCAGCAAGGGCGCTGAAGAGCAACCTGTCGGGGTGACCGAGGTGCCAGTGAGGAGCGCGGAGGCCACAGCAGTCACCTGCCCGGTAAAGCCAGAGAGAGGGGCGGGTCGCGCTGGAGAGCCGTGACCCCTGGGCTCCTTCACCTCCAGGACCCTGAAAGCTGCTGGACCCGACTCGGAGCGAGATAGCAACAAAGCTGGCATCCCGCTGCTGCAGCCGCATGTGGAGCGGTGAGAGGGGGTAGTTATTACTGGGATGCCACCTTTGTTTCCTCATTAGGAGCAGAATACTAGACCTGCTGCTATTTAATGAGTTTTTAGACACGTAGGGCTTGTTTGTTCTTGATTATGTGACTGGAGAAAACCTGAGTATATATGGCACAACTGAGCTGACTGGAGTCTCTTTGTTCTTCAATCACTGGGTCTTCCTGACTCAAGCAGCGTGTTTGTGTGGGTTTGAAACCTTTCATACGTTCATCAGGTAGCGTCACGCCGTGCTGCGCTGTCCTTTCAGGTGCACCATCATGAATATGTGGGTGGCCACATGGGAAGTGAAGCACCTTTCACTTGCCTCTTGTGGTCCCAGCAGCAGCTGGAGCTCTGGTTGTTTCTTTGATGGCTGAAGGTTCGAGTAATCCCGGGATGTGAAATGATCCTTCTGCTCTTCTGTGGCTTTTGAGCTGCTTAGAGTGGAGTTCACAAACTACACCTGTAAGCTCTTATAATCCGTGATCCACACATCCTAACGCTCGTACGCTGCAGATGCAAGTATTACAGAGCTTCCTGAATCCCTCACGACCGCTGTGGTCTCTGATTACTCTCTGACTCTACCGTGTCACTCGGCGTGGAAGTCTGGCTGCACAGACGCGGCGGTCTGCCTGACTGGCTTCGATGCTGTTTACACGTGCGCTCAAGCACGACTTCCACACTCGGGGATAATGGTTTTCTCCTCCTAGTTTCTTAATCTCAGGTTTTGCCTTGGTTCAGCACTCACGCTCACAGTTAATGCACATGTGGCCACACTTGTTTGTATATGTGGGTTATTTTTAAACAGGACCAGTGAAGGATATACAGCCTGTGGTAAACACGGGGTTTGGAGGTGGCGTGCCGGCGTTCCATCTCTCCGGTCTGTTTACAGGAGCTTTCCCCGCTCGCCTCGCTCGGGGTGGAAAGATAAATGATGGATGCCGACAGGTTGAGGAAGAGTACTTCTCCTTTAATAGAAATCCAGCCAGGGCTTCTGACTGTGAGGTACTGACGTGAGGCCAGCGGGTAAAAACCTGTGCCAGGAGGAATAGCTGAAATAGCTTCGAGTCTCTCATCACAGACACAAGTCCTCCGTGCACCATCTAGATGTGAGTTAATAATAACCGAGAGTGTAATCTAGGAATGTAGACGGCTCTTATTTTAAGCCCAAACATCTGTGAGGAATCTCTAAATAGCATGCAGTCATAAACATTTACACACACATAAACAGACATTTTGAACATGAACCAGTTGATTAACACAGTGTCTCGATGTTGTTGATTACCTGCGCTTGTGTTTCAGGAGTGAATCTGCTCTTCTCATCTCTGAGTGGGGCAGAGGGCCCTCGGTGTCCTAAAAGTCTGAAAGAGTCTTTAACAAGTGCAGAAAATGTCCTGCTGGGCTAACATTTTATATTCCTGGAACATTTCTGGTACATTCAGCTTTTACTGCCTTCTGCTCAGTGGTCATGATGCTGACAGCGTGCGACATGTGACCTCCGTCATCAGACTGATGTAACCTCAGCTTCTGACCGCAGAGAAACAATAAAAATATGTGAGCCAAAGTTACGACCCCGACAGGAGACGTGAAGGAGGGCTAACATCAGAAATATGACAGTGGAGATCTAAATGTGTTTATCTGTCATAAAAGCTTCTTAAACCAGCGAGCCAACGGATGGAGAGCATCGTGAAAGTGATGCCCAAGGAAAAGGAGACTAAAGGTTAACGTCTCCAACATGAAATCACCTGGTTTAAGCCTCGCTTAAACGTTTTACCAAACTAAAGGCGTTTTTAAATGCACAGTTGATAAGAGTCTAAATTAGAGTTAACCTTTAAAATAACGCTCCGAAGATCCTCTGGATCGGCTCGGACTTTTAACCTTTCCAGTTAAAACTCATCCAAACTAAAAGGGGCTTAAAACCACGCCCGAGGCCTGGAGGCCAGCAGGACCTCTCAGACTGCTGATGGAACAGCCTTTATTCCCAGGGCTGGCCCGCTAGGGGCTCGGCTCAGCTGTGCTCATCAGCACCCTGGATGAGCGGCGGAGGAGGGGGTGGTACTGTGGCTGAGTGGCCCTGGCACCTGGAGCTGAAGCGGCCAGGCTGGTGGCCGTAACACCAACACTAATACCTAACACAGTGTTGATGCGTTCACGTACCTGCTCCCTGTAGGGTACCTGCTCCCTGTAGGGTTCCTGCTCCCTGTAGGGTACCTGCTCCCTGTAGGGTACCTGCTCCCTGTAGGGTACCTGCTCCCTGTAGGGTACCTGCTCCCTGTAGGGTTCCTGCTCCCTGTAGGGTACCTGCTCCCTGTAGGGTTCCTGCTCCCTGTAGGGTACCTGCTCCCTGTAGGGTACCTGCTCCCTGTAGGGTACCTGCTCCCTGTAGGGTACCTGCTCCCTGTAGGGTTCCTGCTCCCTGT